TTATTTTTAATTATGCAATCCAAATTAACAAAAAATAGGGAAATGTTAGCTTCACTTGACATTGCTTAGCACAAATCTTTTTAATTAATTTTTAATACCACTAATATTATATTTTTGAAAAAAAGATAAAAAAATCCTATAATTACAATTGCAGTAGCACTGGAAAAAGGAAAGAAATCATAATGTAATAATAATGTTTTAGTACTCACCAAAAAAGAAATGTATCATGCAATTAAAAATTTTAAATTTTAAGTTAAAAATGTCAAATTTAAATTTTGAAATCATTGTAGCAGTAAGAAAAAAATAAAAGAGTTATTATATATTGCATTGTCTATTATTTAATGAAAATAATAATAATAATAATAATAATTTGGCAAAATTAAAAAAAAAGGAGAAAAAAATGGAAGACGTAAATTAATATCACTTTAATGATGGACCATATATATTTTGTTCTTAAAGAAAGTAATTACGAGTACCATACGTAACATTTATGAACATAAAATAACATTAGCATTTCCTTAAATCGTTGAATATCTTTTCTTATTCTTTACAAAATTGGCTTAAAAAATGGCGAAATCGAGTTATGGATGGAAAAGATTGGGAATCATTTAAAGGGATTTTTGGGGTACTTTTAAAGGGATCTCCTTTTCTTATCATTAAAGGGATTTCTTTTGTAGCCTTATATGAAAAAAAGATTTTAATGATGAAAATTTTGATTGGAACTCTACCGGGGGAAGAATAAATTCTGCGGGACACAACATCTTTTTCACTTTTGAATCATGGAAAATGTGTAAACAAAATACAAATTAGGTACCTTTTTCATTTTTTTTATAAACAAAAGAAAAAAAAAAGCTTTTTACAATATATAATTATATTATATCACATTATAACTATTTAATATTGACAAACGCAATAAAATTTTTTTGGTTTACGTGAGGCACAAGGTAAGTCAATTTATATTTTTTATATATATTAATATTAGTGAAAATATTTATTGCATCTAAATATTTTTGATTTTTTTAATTGTCACCTTAAGATATAAATTAAAAGCGTAATATTATATATTTTTATAATTAATTTATATAAAAATATAAAAATTTAATTAATTAATTATTAAAAATTTTAATACAGAAAAATACTATATTTTAATATATATTTATATATTATTAAAATATAAGTTAAACAAAATAACAGACAAACCCATATGTTTCCACTTTCCATGGTAGCCAACCCCTACAAGAGCAATGCTAGGGGCACTCGCCTCCTGCACTCTCCGGCCAACACTTTCTCCTATATTGGGCCACGTTATTTTGGTTTCCGAGACGTTGCTCTGAAAGCTTTAAAGAAGCTTACGTGGCCCAATAAAAGGGGAAGTGTTGGCCGGAGAGTGCAGAAAGCGAGTGCCGCTAGCACTGCTCACCCCTACAATCTATAACAATAAAAACAAAGAATTAAATCTATTAATTCAAAATGAAATGCGATACGTGGCGTCTCATGATAGCTCTAGAAATTTAATTCAAAAATTAAATCTATTAACAAGTAATTATTGCCTTATAATTTAAATTTTAAATTTTTTTTAAATACATCGAATTATTATAAAAATATCTTTAAAATTATTCTTTTAAAAATTAATTTTAAAATATAAAAAAATT